TGTGTTATGTTTCGGAACTGCAGTCGCCTTAGAAACTGTCCTGTGAAAACTTAGGAAATTTCCTGAGTGTCCCCATGAATGATTCTCGAGAGCTCCTATGATTCGCCCCCGATACTTATCATCCCGCAGCCTGATATCTGGGTGAGTGCCAGCTCAGACCAGCCAATCATTGCCCAAAGCCTACCATCCCCGATGCGTGGCAGGAATGATAGACAATCACCTGCCAGATCCCGCCCTCCTGTTAACTTTAAGCCTCGCCAAATTTTTTTAAATTAACAAATTTATATTTTCATCATGAATCGGCGCTCCTCGTTCTCCCGTGAATTGGGGCCCTCATTTTGCCTCAAAATACCGAGCCCTTTCGGGGAGCCAGTCTGCCACTGCATGGGAATAGCAATCTAGCGATTACATCCTCCCGACGTGAAAGATGCTATACAAATCTAATTTGTTGTTTTATTTTTTCAATATGGTAGGAAAGCATTTTTTGTCTTGTTTCCTTATTTATTTTCCCCTGCAACACATTTCAGTAGTATAACTGACACTGATGGCAATAATAATCCTAATAATAATAATAATAATCCTTGCATTTGATATAGTGCAAATGCAAGGATTATTGTGCTGTTTATCTCTCAGCTTTTTGTGAGATTAAATCATTTTAGATAATTGTTTGGTGAAGGCAAGTTTGCAGGGCTAAGGGGAGAGAGTTAGGGAGTGGGATTGATTCGGATAGCTCTTTTCAAAGAGCCAGCACAGAAATGGTGAACTGAATGGCCACCTTATGTGCTGTATAATTCTATGATTCTAGTGCCTTATCACATCTTTGAGACGTCTCAGAGTGCTTCACAGCATATACTGTAAAGTCAATTGATTTTTTTGTTGTGCGTGAAACATGGTAGCCAGTGTCCCACAGACAGTCTTGGATTGAGATTTTTTTAATTTGTATTTTTGAAGTGATTATTACCCCCGGAAAACCCAATTGACTACAACTGGGTTCCTGCTAGTCAAAAAGATGTGTGGAGTAAAGGAAACTTGACTAACATTCTTGCCCAGGAATCGAACCCAGGTCCTCTCACTTGCAAGGCGAGTACTCAAACCAATATGCTACAGGACTCCACAACTAGGATAATACAGCAACAATTTACATTTATATAGTGCCTTTCAAATCAGGAGGATTTCTCAAAATGTTTTACACAGCTGACTGAGAGCTTATATAATAAACATGTAAGTGTAATCAGTGATAAATGTGGTGAACTTGGAATGGTCAATCCACTAAGCTCAGTAAATGTACCTCCCAAGTGGAGAATTAGCTTGTGATTATCTGCTAAGGTAGGTGAATTTACTAGGAATGGACTGTTGACCCAAAGTACCTGGGTTTTAGGTGTTGTAGTGGATTGACCTGCTTCCCTTTGATTTCTGGGCTTTGGTGAGATGAAATCATTTTAGATGATTTTGGATGTCAACTAAATCTTTTTAAATCTACTTCTTTAAATCTACTTTTTTTTAAATCCACCTCCTAAATCTTTCCGTAGTTCAACATTAATTGCCGGCCTCAACACAAATCAGACAACCATTTTCCAGGGGTTGAGGTTAGCAGGATTTCCTTAGAATTGAACTGACTCCAAAATGAAGTGCTTGGTAACAGAATATCAGAATCAAGCCAATCCTCTGTGGCAATCTCGGCAGCCCATTTCCTAAGCCAACTTGGTCTGCGTTACATTAAGGCAGTGCTGATGACAGACGAGTCTGGCTCATCAGCAGGATTTGGAGGCGCAGACTGGTCACTGTGAGTAGGGATGCTTCACATTCAACTCCTGTCAACCCTACAAGCCAAACCCTAACAGATTGGATAGTCCAGACATAAACCTTGCCAAGCTATGCCATTTTAGCTGCTTAAATTCCAGCAGTACCGTAACACACGTGCTGGGATCCTCAAGCCTTGGCTCTTGCCAACCTGCACCTAATACTCTCCACAATTAGGCAAGCAGGGTGCTTTCTCTCCAGGGAGAGAGTGCACCTTCCATTCGGGACTCGGGGAAATTTCCATGTGTAAGTAGCATACATATGTGGTGTTTGTTAAAGTTTTGTTTGGATAGACATAAGCACGGTAATGGGTTTCCACATGTGTCAGACATGTGGCTGACCAGAAAAAGACAATGCAAATGACTTGTATCAATAATCAATATGCCTCACGAGTGTAGTGGCAGCTTTCCTTTGCTCCTAACCATGCTGTACCTGACCTGGTAGTGTTTGTTGTTGACTTTAGGTGTAAAAATTGTGCCTGCAGTTATGTATCAATGGGAAAACAGACAGAAGTGAAAACAGAACTACAACAAAAACAACTACTTTCATTTACATAGAGCCCTTCACATGGAGCAGGGTCCTAGAGAACTTTTAAACTATTATTATATATTATAGATGATTTATTTTTAAGCTTTTAAGTCGTTATTATTATTATTATCATTAACTATTAGGCTATTTAATCATCAATTTTTGCTTATCGTTTCACTTGTGTCTTTATAATGAAGAGAAAAACATGTCTCTTACAGGGCTAGGATCAGAGAACTTTTTTTGAAAATATCAAGTGTTATAATTGGGATAAACCTAGTCGTAGATTTACTCTTGAAAATTTACTGTATTCTCTTCATACTGCAGATCAGTATTTTGTTAGAAAATCTAGTTCATTGACTGAAGCTGCTTGCTTTCAAAACTGCACAGATGTAAGGCTTCATATCCCTAGCTTTTATTTCACCTTTTTTGTGGCTTTCTTTTCAAGATTTGTGTCCAAGTCATGTTTATGCCTTTGAATTCATGTTTATATTCATCTTACTCAAGCTGTTTTATTCTGCCTTGCTTTCTCATTTGTTTCAGCGCTTATATCCTCATTGTTCCTAGGCTTTAGCACTAGTTAAAGGGTCTCAGTCTGGGAGATCACTTCCTTTGAAAAGCATGGCTAACTATTCCTTTGAATAGCATGGCTACTCTTCTGTTAACCAGAGAGGAGAATGTTTTTCTTCTTCAGAGTCATCATAGTGGATTGAGAGGAGTGTTTGCACTCTTGGCATCAATTGCATATCTCATTTAGAACAGTTATTAGGTGGGACTGGGGTAGATGGGCCAACCTCAGAACACTGAGAGTTTTATTTAATTAAGTAATATTTCTGAAATTTATATCCTTTTTTAATGGTTTCACAGAATTATGGCATACTCCACTGTTAGTTTATGGTTGGCAATTTCAGTGAAATAATTGCATTTTTTTTCCCATTCTGAAAGTGGTTAAGTCACGAGGGATCCTGGAATAAATGTCACACAACAGCAGAAATTACTGTATGAGGTAAAGATATAGGTGCCATTTTTGGTAAGGTTGGCAAAACACATGTGGTGCATTTTAAATTGTGGCCTTTTTTTCATCTGGGTTGAATTTAGATGCAATTTAGTTACCCACTTGAAAGCAAATTGAACAGAGGGAACATTGCATGGTGTATTTTATTGTTAAGTCTCATTCAGTACTTGTGTTAATGTTTTTGGTGGAACATTAAGTTTATAATGGAAGTTGTGAAGCTGAGCTTAAACTAAGAAATAAACAGAGAATTAAAACAACTCAGTGGAAAAAATAATCCAAGTGGAGCCTAATGTTGAAAATTCAGGATAATTTGCCCCAAAAGCAGTAGCAAATTTTGACAGGGTACTTTGACTATCCAGCTGGGATTTATTGAGACTGAGTTATTTAAAGTATATACATAAATATATCTTTAAGGGTAAATGCTGCCAGCTGGAGTGCTAATCATTTCAGAATTTCGCAGATTTCTTGACGTGCTGGAGATAGATGAAAATGAAGACTTTCTCCCTATAATTGGTCTTTGAGATGTCCTCCCAAAGTAAAAAAAAAGTGCTATATAAATGTAAATTATTGCTGTAGATGTCGTCTTTAACCAGTAAAGCTTTCGGATCCAAGTGTATATACAAAAAAATTTCTCCAAGCCATCTTGAGTTGTTCGTTGCCCAGTTGAAAGGATGTGGAAATCATCTGTTGTCAGACCAATGTTATTCTAGCCAAGTAGTACATGAGTGATGCCAAAGACTCTATCTCTTGCTCCCTGTAGAGAAATATCCAGGCTCTACTCATTACCCAGGCTGAAGGTTCACTGAGATTGAGAATGTACTGTGTGGGAAACATTTGCACAATTCCTGGCTACTTTCATGTTTCTATCTACGCGGTGGAAAATTTGCAGCACTATTTAACTATCACCAGCATTAACTATTGCTCAGCAGGTGGTAACCTGTAGACTTAGTTTTACGTTTTGGCTGGGGCGAGCGTGAAGTTCAACCCTCCACAGTAACAATAATAAAATAATAATCATTGCATTTGGTGCCTAATAGTGCCTTATCATGAATTTAGACCAACTCTGGAAAATAACAACAGAAAATAACCTGAAAGCCACTCTAGGGTCTTACATTTCAGAAAACAAACAGTGATTGCTTTTTAAAAAAAAAGTAAAAGTTGTCTGAGTGCCAGCGCGCGTACGCACGCTGTCACCAATTCTTAATGCCGACAGTTGTTAATGAATTATATTTGAGTTACCTGTGAATCCTGGAGCCAATGATTTATAGCACATCTGTCAAAGTATTGAAACATACTGTTGGACAGGGGATAATATTGGACGGAACATACAGGTGACACTTACAGTGTTTCTGCATGGTTCCTTGTGATGTACTGCAGTTGAAAGACTTTAATATAACTTTAAACCTGAGTGTACAACATGAAAATCACTAAACTGATGCACTCTCCACAATTATAGTGATCAGTTCTCACCAATGGAAAAAACTGCCATTAAGAGGTTGGAGCTACATATCAATTTTCATCAAAGTTTGGTGTCCACTTAAGTTACATTTGCATTGATGAACTAGAAGGCATGAAGAATAAAATGTGTACTTTGATACTGAATTGTTTGATAAACGCTGAAATGGAATATCTAATGGGTATTTACTTCTCTCTGACAGGCACAAACCAACAATGATACAGGAGTGGGGATCAGCACTTTTATTGCTTAGTGTTGTCTTTCTGGGCACAGAGGGTTGGCTGACCAAAGAGGGGTATGGACCGAAACACTATCAACCTCTGGTGCGATTGCGACATAAGGTATTGTTGATATTAATTACTTAATGATACACTTTCTTGCCTAATGAATATAACACAATAATGACTATTTTGTTGGCAATCAGAAGCAGTAATATCCTGCTATTAGTTTTGGTTCTCCATTCTTCTATAGTCTGTTTGATGTGACTAAAGGTACGCAGATGCTGCTGAAATTCCACACCTCCAGGTAGTGGAACCACTTGCTCAGTGAGTCAGGACGATGGTGGCAATGCTCTTACACATTTTGTGCTGAGATGTGCTGCTCATCATGCAGTGTGCGGTGGTGGGAGGGGATGGGGCGTGTTCCTGGTATCTGCTGTGCACCTGGTGAGGACTCAATCCTGCGATTGTCAAATGTCTAGCGACCACATATGTCTGGTACAAGTTGCATTTTCCTTGGTGTACTAATATGTCCTGTGATCCTTTTGTACACCTTTTTGCACTCTCTCATTCTTTTCCAAGCTGTTGGTCCTCTTTCCCCTCCCCACCCCCTTGGCTTTCAACCCCAGCTCAAGTGCCAAGCCAATATTGCTAAGCCATTCGTGTCATGAATTCGTGTCTGCCTTCTCCCACCTCCGCAACATTGCCCGGCTCCGCCACTGCCTCTCCCCTCAGGCCGCCAAGTCCCTCATCCATACATTTGTTATAACTAAGCTTGAGTACGCCAGCGCTCTGCTTATCGGCCTATCCATCTCTTCCCTCCACAAGCTGCAGATCATTCTTACTCTGCAGCTTGTGTCCTTTCCTGCACTTTGCTCCATGACCTTATAGCCCCCACCCTAGCCAGGCTCCACTGGCTCCCATTCACCATAGAGTTCAAAATCATTGACCTTGCCTTCAAAGCCCTCTATGACCTTGGTCCTTCCTACTTCTGTGACCTATTAGCACCATATCAACCAGTATCCTCCCTCCCCTCAGCAGGCTCTGGCCTGCTTCACATCCCATGCCCTGACCCACGTCACAATCAGCCATCGGGTCTTCAGCCTCTCTGTCCCCTCCCTTTGCAACTCAATACCACAGTGCCTTCGCCTTATTCCCTCCCTTGCCTCCTTCAAGGCATGTCTCAAGATCACCCTCCTACCCCTACCCTCTCTGCCCTCCGCCCCTCCTGATCCCAACCCCCTGCTTGGGTCCAAATCCCTGACTGTCCAGTGCCTTGGGACATCCTCTCGACATGAAAGGCGTTATGCAAATGTAATTTGTTGTTGCTTAGGGATCTCCTCCTGACGGGAAATGTGCCATGTGAATGTAAATTTGTATTGTATTGTGTTTTCGAGCGATACAATTTTTAGCTAATTTTTTATTCTCCTCCAAGTCTTGGTTAGCTGCTTCCTGCCACCTGCTTTGCATGTTTGGAAGTACTCAGTCAACTGATCGCTATTAAAATGAATGAGCCCCATTCCGGTACTTAATGCAACAGCACATACAGAGCCTCCTCTGAAAATCGTCTTTTATGACTTTGATGTTCTGCCATAACATCTTTCAATTACACACTCCACAGCTGGATCCACATATTTTTCTCATTTACAATCTTCAATTGGACAATTAAGGTACTTTGCCAGCGCAGTATGATTATTGTTGAGCCTACCTTCTCATTGGCCAAGATGGTGTCGGTAAAGTTAATCACTTTGCACTGCTTAGTCTCAGCAATTTTCTTAAATTCCAGTTTTAAAAGTTGTTAAATGGTCATGATATCCCAAATTATTTAACAATACATATTTACATTTATATAGCGCCTTTCGTATTGGGAGGACATCCCAAAGTGCTTATCATTATTGGCTGGGCATTCAAGCTAGAGGTGGAAGCTGAGGGGTTGGGCAGGAGTAAGATGACATGGTCAGAGAGTTGGATCATAATTTATTGCCCGTGTTCCTTCACCAAAGCCCCATCTATATAAAACAAGATCTTTAGGAATGTATTTGCTACTTTTCATAATTTCATAGCATTAATAAGGGATCTATTATGTTTAATTTTCTTATGCATTTGCAAATTAAGCAATAAACATAATACAACAACAACAAGATTCCATTTATAGAGCGCTTTTCACATCGGGAGGATGTCCCAAGGCGCTTGATAATAATAATCCTTGTATTTGATATAATGCCTTTCTCGTAAGGAGGACTTCCCAAAGCACTTCACAGGAATTTGATGTAAAGTGTAGTGACTGTTTTTTTTGTAGGTGGATAATAGTTTGACATACTCTGTTAACTCTTTGACATACACATTGTAGAAAGTGTCCCATTTGCTTTGAAATGATAATATCATGCCTACGGTGTTTTAGTTTTCAGAATGCTCAATGACAGTTCGTACGTACTCCAACTTTTTTACATTTTATCAGCTCTGTAATAATAATAATAATAATCCTTGCATTTTGATATAGGGCTTCACACATTTTCTAGATATCTCAAAGTGCTTCACAAAATATACTGTAAAGTGAATTGACTGTATATTTGTGGGTGAAATGCAGCAGCCAATTGCGCACAGCAATGTCCCACAAACAGTCGTGGATTGAAAGTGGAGTGCAGGTATAGCATTTACACTGTGTCCCATATTCTCAGACAAAAATATACCATCATATTTGCACACCATTTCCACCCTTTGAAACCTGTACTTGTGAACACTTACGCACACACTTGCTCGTGCGCTCCTGCACACACGGACATGCAACACACAGACACACACAAGTGCATACACATGGCAGATGTTGACAATAATTAATTGGGAGTAAAACATAAGTATTCATGAAATATCTTTTCTAATATTTCGGATCATTCTCAAGGTTGATGGACCCTGCTGGTTTCAGTGCAGAACCAGATTAATTCCTGGTCCATGTCAGTAAATTTAGTGACAATCATCAACATAGAGCTTTTGTTCAAGGTAAAGAACAATACCAAGCTGGTAGTGTTACTGCATCTTGAAAGATGCAGTGTTTTTACTTATGAAGCAGGTGTTCTTCTGAAACGTCCCAGTGGATCTTGCGATGGATTCTGGATAATAAATACAGAAATTCTGTAGGGTTTATTTGGACAGCCGTCATCTCTGAACAGTGCTCCTGAGGTAAAGCTAGATTAAAAAGAAATAAGCATAGAGAGTGCTTAGCAATCGTGGCTGAAAGCAAATGATTCAGTGAAATGCAGTCCTAGGGATTTGGAGATAAGATTAAGTTAGAAGCTGCATGTCATTTCCTTCATCTGTCGCACTGATCAGCTCAAATGGGCCTCAGTGCAGCAGGGTGTTTGACTCCCAGGGAAGCTGTGAGCAGGCTGTCCATACAGGTCCCATCCCATTGCCCTGCACAATTACAGGATTTGTTATGGTCTTTTGCCATTTAAATAATCTTGCCAGCAAACCAGTCACTTAAGATTGAGTGCTTCTTGTTTATTTTCTGGGTGTACACAGTGCTCATGGGCACAGAAGGAGAGCTGTAATATTCTTTTCACTTTTTGGAAAATAAAATATGAAGCCCAAACTCCACGCGGAGGCAATCCAATTCGAAACCACAATCCCGAAGTCCATTTGTGTGTAAAGATATGGAGAATACAGTACAGTATTCTCTGGCTGCTTGGGTCTTTACATTTATGCATGATCAGAGAATTTTCCGCTTTATGTATCACATCTAAAATCTGGATTTCTTTCTCAAAGCAGTGAATATTATAATGAAGATGTTAAGAAACTCCTGTTTAGATCTGTAGATGTTCTTACTGGGAAACTAGTGTCCTTTTAAACCCGGAGTGGTTTGAGATAAAAATCGATAGGGTAAGATAAATTACAGCTAAAAGAGGTGCAATATTGATGGAGGAGGTCCTTGAATTAGCATCAGAAAGAGAAACGATGGGGCTGTGATCATGAGAAAATAAGAATACTCTGAGCACATTATTCAGGACATTACTAGTCATACAGTGATGAGTAGGTAGGCTGTGGCTGTGCTGCCTGCCATCTATTGATGTACTGCAAGCGTATTGGAGCTTGTGTGGACAACACTGCCTCTTTTCAAATCCTTTGTGGTGCATTACACCATTTCAAGAACAGAGGGAGGGCAGGAGGACAAGGGTCTTCATCCATATCTCAGCCTCTTTCAGTTGTAATTTATCTGTGCCCATTGATCCACATTGACAACCACTTGATTGAGGTGGTTTTGTGGGCAATTGGAAAAACAATTTGATTTCAGAGCACATGTTAGGATTGGCCTTTATTCAGTCCTTAAGGTTTAATTTACTTGCAGCTCATGGAGTATTTAAAGGATAGCAGGCCTGGCAGACTACATGAGGAACAGAGGGTAAATATCCTTGTTAATATAAGCTAAACGACCTGGCACCTTCACTGCCTGTTACTGGTAGCATTCTGTGCCACTTCTCGCCAGCTGGCCTCTGCCCATCTTCTGTTAGCCATCCTCTCTGTACAAGTACCTTCCTTCACTGGAGCACACGTTGTGTTGAGAGTTTCCCTGAGAATGCTGCAAATAGCACAAATAAACAAAAAGCAGAGAGCTATACCGGTCTGTAAGAACACTTGAAAGCAGTCAAAAAAACCACAGCAGAATAAAAGGAACCTGAAAAGCCAAACAAACTTGGCGGAGAGTGAAAAAAACTGAACAGGAAGAGGGTGAAAATGGAATAAAAATGGGGGGAAAAATATGAAGAAGAATATTATGAAGAAAAGAAAGAACTAAAGTAATGAAAAACAATGAAAGTTTAAAGAAGTTTAAAATATTCATTAAAATTCAACTAATTTTGAAGGGACAAGATTACTCGAGAATAGAGATTTGTAAAAGAAGAGTTTTAAGAGTATGAGGCATTTCTGTGGTAAAGTAAAATAGAGCTGATAATAATAATCAGGATATTTAAGTGTATGGTCAGCATCAATGTATAGACATGAAATCTGGGCCTTGAACACTGAAGGAAGATCGGAGGTTGACCGGGGGAAGGAGGAAGTGCATATAAAAGAAATTAGCATAAGAAAGAAAAATGAAAGCCTGTGCTTAGGAGAAAATAACAGAAAATTGG